TATGTAATCGCGAATTAGTACAGAAAAGAACAATATTGTAAACACAAAAACCTCGTGCAATACTGTCTAAGACTACTATTTAATGCAATACAAAGAAAGGGAAATCACAGAGCAACGAAACATTTCATCGTCTTTGATATTAACTATATGCTTTGATTGACATGTTTACGCTCAGCGAGTACATTTCTTTCGGCCAGGGGTTTTCCCCGAGATTAATTCGTACATTCTATAAAACGAAACTTAATTTATATAACAGTTTAAGGTAAAAAAAAACAATGAAAATTATGTCTGTAGTATGCCTAACTCTGAATTTTCGAATTTCTTTGAGACATTTTATTTACAGGAGGTAAACAAAGCGAACAGAGCGAAATTCGTATGTCACAATCAGGACTCATGGCATTGAGGCGCGCAGAATTCGAACACACTGGCATTTAATGACTATCCTTGAAGCCAAACTGTACTCAAACATTTTTTTCGAGTGCAAAACCAAAGAATAATGATGAAAGACATATATTTACATAATCAGGCTTCATTCAGTGTAGTGTAAGGTGGTTTTATTTGTTAACTATCAACAATTAGGTTTACCGATAAAGCATGCTCGATTTCGACACATTTTCAAATTTTACAAAGTTTGCGCGCTTGTCATTTTTGTCAAATGGTAAAGCAGAAAGATATTATTGGCGATTTGTGTTGACTAATGTTAGTAGTTTATAAAAAAGTTAAAGTCATGTGCCAATCAAGTGCCACGATTTTGAAATAAGCTTTCAAAGTTGATATATTTTGAGACGATATCCTTTATCCGTTCAGGAGGGTCAATAACTGCGCTGTTTTCTATTTTATAACAAAGAATAATTATCTAAGTTATATCACCAACAAAAATAGAAGGATAAGTCTATATTTCTGAGCAAAAATTTTGAAATTTAGGTATGAATTTGATGTAAAACATAGCGCTGAAAATATGTCGATATTTTGCCTTCATTCGGAGTTCAAGTTGGTTACCAGCCGATCGAACATCAATCGCCCCCAGAAATTATTTAAAGGAAATTTGAGTAAAATGAAATCGATTTTAGTTGTTCCCAAGGATAGATCTTCAAAATACTAGAGTATGAGAGAAATCTATTTTGAGCCCCATATTGACCTGGAGGTTTTTACGGAGACAGCCTCATAAGGTCTTACCTCCACTCCCGTTGTTTTCGGGAGCACAAAGAAAATTTACATGTTCAACACAAGTGCAGAGTTGGGCAAAGGATAAAGGAGTCGTCCTTTGTATTGTTTTGTTTTGTATTGTATTGTATTGTTTTATATTGGTTTTTATAATAGTCGGAGAACAAGATGCGCTGACATGCAGTCATTTCGTTTTTGTTGTTTTAGTTGACCTCAGTTCAATGATTGCTACATGCACCTGAGTCAAATTATGCTAAAATATCACGTGATTAAAACCCAAGAATTGTAGTGAAAACGTCAGGAGAGGTAGGTTGAAAGTTTCATGAGAGGAATATGAGGCGCAAAATTTCTAGGCTACGTGCATAAATTTTAGGAGAGGTGCAGGAGTTCCACAGCGGGCCAAATTGGAAAATAATTTAGCCAGTATGGAAGTTTTGAAAAAACGACACAAGGATGTTAAAAATTGGGAGTTATTACATGGAGTATTTAGCTTATTTAGCTTAGGATGTTCAGGTTTGATCCCAGGGGAGTTGCGCGAAACATGATGTAACCAAAGCGCGTACCTCTTAAGACGCCTACGGCCTACCCAAAATATGCCCTTGTAGTGTATCTATATATCTAGTCGCTTAGTGAAAAAAATAGAAAGATCTATACATAGTGAACAAATCGCCAAACGTTTCTCAGAGCTTCAACTGGTTACGTATACTCAATTTTTGACCAATGCCCAAAACTTCATTACTTCGTATCAATTTCCAGGTATAGGGGATTTTCATGTTTTTACCTGAAACGTACGTGCGAAATGGAGATTGAACGACATTATACGTTAAATGGTAAAAAAAATATTAGATGGGAAAATCCACAATGCGTAGTTACATTATCTCGAAATTTAAATGTTCAATTTCTCTCGATCAATCAGTTGTATGAAGAGGCGAAATATAGCATTTTGTTCCTTTTCGTGAAATCTTTCTGTTACTGTAACCCATTTTGTTGTAGCATTGATGTTAAAATAAATATTTTCTTTATAAGGAATTATATAGATAAAAGCAAAAAAAATCTCTCTGAAAATAGATTCCAAACGATAAAATTTTGAGCACCAGTAAAAAATTAAAAGTTTGTTACCAGTTGAAGGTTTGAGAAAAATTTGGCGTTTTGTCCACTCTTTATAGATCTGAGTGCTAAGCCACATGACTATATACTATGAGCTGAGTTAAGCTCGGTTTAAATGAAAAAAAATTCAACATTTCACATTCTGAGATAGAAAAAAAACCTTTCCATATATTTACTTCACCTCTTCAGCCTTCAGGTCCAGCATAGACTGTAGGTCATCCTTGCCAAGAGGAGTCATTTTCTGAGTTAAATCTGACAGAAAGTTAGAAACCTTTTCTGCTGTTTCAGCCATTCTCATCTAAAACCAATAATAAGCAAGTGGAATTGTATTCATGTGGGATATAAATAAATGCTTATCAGAAATCTGAGCATTTGGAAAGTTGTGCTCTTTGGAAAGTTGTGCATTTGGAAAGTTGTGCATTTGGAAAGTTGTGCATTTGGAATGTTGTGTTACATGTAAAACACACAACTTCCGCTACCCGAGTATCTTCGTGGATATACGATTTTTTGAACAGTTTTTATATGAACTTCCCTTTCTTTAATTTAGTTTATCTATAATTCTAACCATTGATTTCTATCAACCTTTAGTTATGGGATAAATGGTCTCATGGTTCCATACTTGGTAGCCCTGCGAATGTGCTCACAATTGGCAGATTTTAATTCAGATTCCCAAAATTAACAAATACACATTTTTTACGTCAGGGTTAGATTGATTGGGACAAAACTTGAAATATTATGTAATGTCGTATTGTAAAATGTCTTTTACCTCTAAAACATAACTTGAGTGGGTTGGATAGCCAAGTATTGTCGCCATCTGGAAAGAAATAGATTAAATTGAACATATATAAGTTTACTTAAAACACACCACAGAATCATAAATCATATCCCTAGAATAGAAATACATTGTTAATTTCTATATGTAGCATTTTTAACAGTCAGAATTATTAAGATCTAGTCAAACAAGCTGTTTAAAAAGCGCAAGCTAGCGTTTACAACCACGAGTGTGTTCTGCTATACTACTTTTCAAACTAAAAAACCGATAACATAGGTCCATGTACATGCAGTGGTTTTATATTTGATAGAACAGTGGAATCTCACTCGATACAACTAATTGCATTCTGACACTGCAATCGACCAACGAAAAATTCGTTGGCTCAAGCGGGATTTGAACTCGCATCTTCGGGTATCTAGACCGCCGCTCTACCCATTGAGCTATCGAGTCAACAGGGATTGGTAGCGAGTCTTATCCAATTTAAGTGCACGGAATATTTTCGTGACGACTAACGCTTGTCTTGGGGATTGGTCGATTGCAGTGTCAGAATAATATGAAACTAGTTTTTCGTATCTCTGAGGATGGTTCTGAAATAGAATTGAAACACGGCGCGTCCTCTAAGACAAGCGTTAAGTCGTCACGAAAATATTTCGTGCACTTAAATTGGATAAGACTCGCTACCAATCCCCGTTGACTCGATAGCTCAATGGGTAGAGCGGCGGTCTAGATACCCGAAGATGCGAGTTCAAATCCCGCTCGAGCCAACGAATTTTTCGTTGGTCGATTGCAGTGTCAGAATAATATGAAACTAGTTTTTCGTATCTCTGAGGATGGTTCTGAAATAACTAATTGTTGAAGGGACTTGTAGATGGAAATTTTTGAGTGGAATATACAGAACATTCGACAACTGCATGTCTCTCCGTAGCTCAGTTGGTTAGAGCTGATATAGTTGTTGCAACTGCTCCTGGTCAGGTCTATTATAATGTATAAAAATTCCAAATTGCAGTCTTTATTGCTAACTTCATGACAAAGGGCCTTCGCTCGAAACGTCGATGTTCTGCTCATATTCTGAAGCAGTGGCGGACACTTAACGAAACATTGCGGGAGGGGGGAGGGGGGGGGGTTTAGGTCGCCAACATATATGACCACCTTTTGTGTATAGTTGGAAATGTTTAAGCATTGTTTCCTTAGATTTCAATACATGCAGTATCTAGCTTAATTTTTAGCTTACCCTTACAAAAGTATGTTTAGTGCTTTTATATCTGTAACATAATGCTAAAATGAAAAGATTTTAGAGTATGTTTTATCAGTATGTTTAATTGTTTATATTGCTGTAAATATGGCGTCACTTTTAAAGCATCATTGATAATTGTATTTTAATTAATAATTTTGAACACTTTTCATCGCAAATACGCGACATTGACTAAAATTGCCTTTTTGCCGATTTGGAAATTTCGGATATCTTATAGACAGTTTTATATGTTTCATAAGTTAAAAGAATTTTTTCTTTTTCCTAATCAGATACCGTATTCATCCCAATGTCATCAAAATTTATAATTATATACGGTATACCTATTAATTTTTAGGTATTCTTTCGAGTTCAATTCTTGGGTTTCATATTACTGTGCTGTAATAAGTTACTCAACATTCTATCATTTAAAATAGTACTTATAATTCATTTATTTAATTTGATTGGAAATTCGCCCTGCCAATCGGAATGATTTGTATTTTGGGGGGTGTCACCCCCACACCCCCCCCCATACCCCACCCCCCCTCAAGTTTCGCCTTGAAGGTTAGTCCCAGTCTTTTCACGCGTGTGAAGAGCGCGGTCAATCCGTCAACATTTAACAGTTATTCTACGAACTCGAGTCGAATATGAGCGGATAGCCGGTGAGGCGTGTACTTTATTATATACACAGGGTCTGAATTCACAGACTTTGCTTTTCGGATATTTTCAATATTTTTCTATTTTGTTTATGTTTTTATCTTCGCTCTTTCAGCCGATTATTTCTTCAAAAATATATATTTTAAATTTTAAAAATTCATTTGCTGACCTGTAAACAATTTGTGGGAATTTTTTCGTTGTGTTTTTAATCCTGTAGAGGCTACAAAAAGCGAACAACTTGCCGTTTTCTCGTTCGCAAAAATCGGAAATTCAGTTTCAGCCGCCATTTTGTTTTTCTCTACTACTAGGATATGAGCTAATATCCTGCTAGTAGAGAACCAATCAGATTGCAGAAACCTCATATCCAGACCTTGTGTATATAATAATAATATTTATTTTTGACAACCGGCTTAAACTGAAAAAAAAAGTGAAATCCATACTACGAAATTTACAATTGCACCACTAAATCCATAGTATATCCATCTTATTTCCACACTATATCCATACTATGGAAATATACAATTATTATGGATAACCAAAATCCATTCTATTTCCAATAAAGCTCCATACAATTTCCATTCTATGACCTTCTATAAATTTTTCCAGTGTTAAAGTTTACAAAAAAACAAACCTTTCATCAGCGTGCAAAGCTTTTTATCGTGTCTGAAAACTTCCTAAACCTAGTAGACTTTACTTTTAACTTTTTTTCTTATTTTTTCCAATAATTGCGGCATGCTCGCTCCCTGAACGGTCTCACGAGAAAATCGCGACGCATAAACACGCGGGTCCTGTTGACCTTCAGGAAAGAGATGGGCAGTTTATCTGAGGGTAGCGTTCCAGTTATATTAATTTCAATGGTAGGAAAGGCTATTTCATAAAGAGATCAGTATAGACCCGTCACAGCCATTGCTAAGCAACCTAAAGCAACCTAACTAAAACTTTTCATGTTTATTTGGAAAGAAATTTTGTTGAAAGCCAAATTAAAACGAAAACACACAAACAATGCAGCTTATGAATAGATGTTGGCAAAACCATGAGAATAAAACTGATGCAAGAAAATTTATTTTGATGATACATTTTGCAGTACATTATATAAACTGAACTATTATTACGCAAACTAATTACACTCTACAAAAGTTTCTTAGAAAAGAAAACAATGCAACTTAAATCTGAACTAGCAAGATGATTACAAGTATCCACCAAACCACCAGTTGGTTGTAGAAAGGGGCCCAGCACTGCAACGAAATTTTTTGTTGATGACTCCCTGGATATAGAAACCAAAGTTATTCTCGCTCGAAGCAGAACCTTGAGTGGGAACAAACTGACAGCCATTGAAACTGCTATCAATGTGGGGGGCGCAAACATTGTTTTCGTTCCACCATCTTGATGTACATTGTGCACATTGATGACCACGAATATTTACATATTCAACTTTCTTGCAAATACCGCGGCCCTGAAATGTCATAATATCAAAATCTGTAAACTTTGCTCTGACGTAATCAGTGTAGTCAACTTTGTAACTTGGAAAGGTGCAGGTTGTTCTCCAGTGGGTTGACTGAGACTTGAGATGAGTCATTTGAGAGAGACTCATGCGGTAGAGGTTCCAGTTAGGCGAGTGCTCGTTCACAGGAGAGACTTGTTGCATTGATTTCCTGGCGATCTGATCCATATGTCTGTTCTTGAAGGCGTAGGACATCACTAAAGTCCAGGCTGAACCAGCTTCTGAAGTCATATCACAGTAAACTGTAATACGGTCGTCGGTCTTGAAGTCATAAATGGTATAATAACCATCTGATTTGAAACCTCTTTTGAGATAGTCCAGACAGCTTCGAGGAGTGATTTCCAGCTATGAAAATTAATAAAATGTTTAAGCTATATATCAACAATTTTCAAACAGAGAAAAGAACACGACCTGTCCTAAATCCCGATCGTATAACAGCTTTAAAGATGTATTTAGGTTTATATACGTATACATATTAATTTAAAAGAACAGTGAATTAAATTTATTAAGTATATATGGCTGCCCAATGCCCATGCACCAAGTTAAATATACTGATATATGACAATATGGCCTATCCATACAAGTCGACCTGTAACTAAAGATAAATTCGACAAAACAGTTTATTAAATATATCCAACCTGCCTGGCCAATGTCTTAGACTCCACTTCCATTCCAAACAGGAACAGACTGAAGAATAAAAACATTTTTGAAAGCATTTTCTTCTTGTCCGTATTTTCGTTTCAAAATGTTACTGTAAACTAGCCGGTGTCTTGCTTGGTCTGCATGGGCTAATACAAGAGCTGATCACGGGATTATAGTGTTATATGTAAGTGCATGGCTACGTGTCCGCTTGAGAATTTATATACTGTAGAGGAAGTTGGACAGTCTCAGCAGACTGCTGAAACCATGGATGTTGAAGACTTGCACTGCATGACGCTTAATTGTAAATTCTATAGAATCAATTAAGGTCTTCTATGACTATGGTATTTATATTCATTCAGCATAACATAGCAAATATTCTTGCCCATCAAAATTATTTTCCTGATTGTTAAACTGGAGTTTGTTCCTCACTATTTTCCAATTTTATATACCTTATATGCTTTTAATGCTTCTATCTTTTGTGATATATATAGTACATAGCGTTTAAAAAATCTGAATACTACATTGCAGTGACTTATAGGAGTTAGGTTAAACCCAAAAGATTTTCCTTCTCAGAAATATTTGCAACACAAAACAACATTTGAACCAATTTCATATCGAAATATATATTAAAAACAGCAAAAGGCAATCCTCAGTGCTAATTTCTTTGATGTGCATGAAACGCATCCAGCAATTTACATCCATGTAATATACATGCATATACAGGAAACACCATGCAACACAGCAGGAATAGACTGCAATATTATGCTTCACTGGATTTACAAATACTGACTACTGAGGAACATTTATACGCTATAAAATTTATGTATATAGGATTATAGCTATAAGTCTTAAGCCCGTCGCACACGAGAGCAACTAGTTGCTGAGCTAACCGCCTCGCGAGGCTGTTAGCTCAACAAGTAGCTTTCGTGTGCGGATAGTTTTCGTGAGGATTTGACCTCTCGAGGCCTTGAGGAAAATATCTATCGTGTTTGATATTTTTCACCTCGCGAGAAAAAAATCTCAGCGTCTGCGGATATTGTGAGCTAAATGCTGAGCTGTTTGAATCAATTAGCCAATGACAAACCATGGTTTCTTCCTGTGACTTGGAACAAAATGGAGGAAAATGCAAATGACTTTTCAATTATGTTGCTGTTGAGTAGTTTTCCCAACGTGTGCGGTGAAAATACATAGCTGAGCTAGCTGCCACGTGAGGCGGTTAGCTCAGCAAGTTGCTCTCGTGTGCGGCGGGCTTTATGAACATTTAAGAAATGCCTTATAAAATCTAAATTATTAGGATCTTATTCGGAGACACCCTTAATTTTTTGAGACAAGCTATGTTTGTAGATTTAAAACGAACTATATTGAACTGTATAACATATTATCTAGGAATAAATAACATATATTAGAATGTTAGGGTTTGTAATCCAAGTGAGTATATACATTTTAAGACCTGACCAGGAACGACTGCGAAAAATGCAGCACAAGGTCCTCTGGTAGGAATTGAACCTACGGCCCTGCGATTCCGGTGCAGCGCTCTAACCAACTGAGCTACAGAGGAACCGTAAGTTCATGTATATATAGGTAATCGGGTGTGCGGACTTCAATGATTTGGTTTCTTGCCAGATCTCAATTCCTACCAGAGGACCTTGTGCTGCATGCATTGTTCGCAGTCGTTCCTGGTCAGGTCTTAAAATGTATATATACTCACTTGGATTACAAACCCTAACATTCTAATA